CATATTTATTACTACTAAATAATTATCATTTTGAATTGTTAATAAGCTATAATCACCAATATCAGTAATAAAAAATTTAAAGATTCCTAAAACTGGGCTGAAAATCTGTTCCCATGTCTAGGGGACAGTGGAGAATCTGGTCAATGTATGACTTGAAAAATGAGGTCTTGAGTACCTCACAGCATTTTAGCTAGAATGAAAACTTCTAATTAAAAAAAGTATAAATATCTTGTATAGCTTTGGTGTGTTTGATATAATAGAATGCTTTCACAAAATCAACTGATACCAATTCAATATAAAAGGTTGGAAAGACGTTACTCTTTTTCTCCAATAAATTAATATACCTTTTCCATATTTGTATTTGCTCAAAGATTAAGTTTTGTATCGGGGGCATTCTTAAATAGAAGTTTCTTAGAATTAGAAAGCTTGGACTCTCAAGGCTTCATTCATTCAGCCAACATCACTGGAGCCATCATTTATACAAGGTATTTACCAGCTTCAGGCCTGGGCACAATGGTCAACATGGAGCAGTCCCTGCCTGCTCTCAGAGAGACACCGGCCTGGCAAGCTGAGGGATTAACTAGCAGTTTTAAACAATCTAAAATATAGTAGGGATGCTGCCTGATTAGCAGTTATTTAGCCAGTTAACATTTCTGTAATTAATACAGCAAAAAGGGTGAGCATCAATCACATAAATACAATGTTTCCCCTCTTGTCTGTTGCCTGTCACTCCTCTCTTCCCTGATTCCCAGTATCTATAGAGCAGGAGCTAGAGCTGGGTCTCGAACTCGTTCCTCCCGGCAGGTGGATGTCAATCAGAGAACAGAGAGGAAAAAGACGTAAGAGGAGTGAAGAGATCAGGGTAGAGGAGGGGACATGGCCCACAAGACCCCCGAGGGCACTTCAGCAGGTACTGGGGAGGGACAAAGGTCCGTTCCACCTTCAGCGCGGGTCTTCTGCGTAAAAGCAGCACAAGCCCCTGAATGGGAAACGCAGCTCGACTGGAGGTTTTTACCCCGCGAGTGGCAACGCCGAGGGCGCGTCGTGGGGCGCGCAGCGCTGCCCGGGTCTCGGGGACGGGCTCGTGGTGAAGCACCGCCCCTCAGGCTCCTCCCCGCGGGACGCGCGAGCCGGTCCCGCGCGGCGCCAACCTTTTCCCGGGTCATCGCCCCTCCCCTTTTCCGGACCGCGAACCCCCTGCGCGCTGCCTTCTCGGGGCCGCGCTCGGCCGCCCGTCGGCCCGCCAGCCCTCAGCGCGCGCTTGGCCGCCCGACGACTCGGGAGCCACACGCGCGGGACGAGGCTCGCCGCGCTCCTCGCCACCGAGCGCGGGCCCGCGAACGTGGCGCCTTCGGTTCGCGGCCGGGTGAGTGTTCGGGCTATCCATTCTGTAGCCTCGGAGCGGCGGCGGCGGTGAGGAGACACGGCCAGGGGGAAGTGGACATGGCGGGGTTGAGGGCATCGGCGGGGGGAGGGTGGTCCGGGCGCCTCTGCGACCACGTCGAAGGCTCGCTGACGGAGCGGCTCGGAGAAAGACGAGTGTTGGATAGAGCCTGGCTGTCCTCGCTCCGGTTGCGCGTAAGGGAAGGGTTGAGGGTTGCGCGGCGGCCCGCTGGGGTTTCCGCGGGACCCTCAGCGGGATTCGGAGGGAGGAGACGCCGCCTCGAGTGAGGCTCCTGCCACGTTTCCACCGCTCTGGGGCGCGCGTTACCTTCCGCCTTGGGATGGGCGACAGCCCTGCGCCTTACCCCTCCTCTGCTGACCCCCTTCTGAGGCCGGGAACCAGGGTTTGCTGTGAGCGAAGCCCGATCCTCGAACTCGTGGTCATCCGCTGCCTGTACGTCTGCTTGACCGCAGACCCTACGGTCAGGCTGGGTGGGCGCATCAAGCTGGGACGCTTGGCAGGAAGGAGGTGGGGGCTGCGCGCCAGGGCCCTTCCCCCTCAACTTGGGGCAAAACCAATGACAAAAGTTGGACGCAGCTTGCAGGCCTTTCTTTCAAGAGGTGGAGCTGCTTTCTGTCTACTCACCTAGCACTCTTAAAACCCAGGCGTGAGTGCTGAGCTGCAGGTTTTGGTGGTTTTTACAAAGGAAACCTCCCAGCGCCTTAGAACGTTGTTTTTCTCCCTGGAGTCTGGAGATCCCTCCTTTTGTAACACCCCTGGGGCAGGTCAAGTTCTCCTCGCCCCCACAGGCCAGCGTTCCTGCTTCCTCAACCTTGCAACATCTACCAGGAGAAATAATTGTTTCTAGATCAGGTTTTGTTACAAGGAAGGCAGGACTTGATTTTCCTTTGGATTTTATCCTTGTAGTTGAGAGTAGAGGAGCCTAGAAAACAAAGTAAAACTTGAGGGGCAGCCGCCGTGGTGATTAAGTGCCAGGGTGACGTCACCTTTTGAGGTTTAAAATAGGAGCTTTTTGCCCCTGTTGTTAGTGAAAAAATTGTAACTACTTACTTACTCCCTAGGTCTTCTTGGCCTCTCTTGCTTCTCGGTTTTCTCTCCCTGACTTTATTACTCTCTCCCTTTTACTTTTTGGTATTTCTCGAATATTCGTGGGTATGGGTTAGTTTTCAGTTAACTCTACTCTTTAGTCCTTCAAAATGAAAAAGAAAAAAGGTAAATTCATATGACTCATCTGCATTACAACCAAAAGCAAAAAGGAAGACCACTAAGCGATTCTTTCCTTCCTTTCTTCCTTTCTGATTTTTAATGTAAAACAACATAACAAGAAAAAATTCTGATATGTATGTAGCACATAGTTGGCAAATTTAATGAATGAGGAGAATGATCTGGTTAAGGATTCAGAAAATCTCTTTAGTGTGGTTCCTTCTGGGTGTGTTTTTTTGGTGGGTTGGAGGCTAATGTAATTCCATCAGCAACTTTCATCCCAAACCATATATTAAATTGCAGTGAGCTTTCTTTTCCACTGTAACATGGTGGTGTATAAATGTAGCTTTATAAAGTGGAAATGGCTTGCATTTTCCTGGAGGAGAGGCTGAACAGCTGTTGTGGTGGGCTAGGACTGTGTGTGCCCATAAACGCCATTACCTGGTAACTTGGTGGTGGAAGGTGCCCAGGAGGAAATTTTGGGCTTCTTTTCATCGAGGATCAGGGTGGTGACTATGACTGCCAACACACTTCTCTGGTATTTTACATAGAGGTCTGTTTAAATTTGCACATAGAATCAGGGAATCATTTTAAGAACACAGACTTAGCAGATTTGAGACAAGAAAATAGGAAACTAACAGAATCAGCTTTATTTTTTTAATGTGTGGGGACCCAAACGATAGCAAGGTTAGCCAGTTTGGGTCTTATAAAAATATAGAAGCTGTATGTCTTTAATAGTTACTCAGAAAAAGTTAATGTTGCTTAGTAAATGCAACATTTGTATAACTCCAAGTTACTTAGAGCAGCCAAATGAATGAGCTCATTGCATAAAGACAGAATACACTTCGAAAACAATCCCAGGATAAGGTTTTTGCCTTTATGAATTAATCAATAATACATCATATGCCATTTTTTTTAAAAGTCCTCTTTGAGGTAGTTCCAAAATACAGCTAATCTCTGCTTAAAAAAAAAAAAAATTCTGTGGAAGACCCTGAGTTTCTACTCCTTAAATATGTTTTAATAGAATGTCACCATTTTTATGTCATATCTTTTAGATAAACATATCTTCCTGCCTGATAAAGCACTCACATCAACTCCTAGTTGGATTTAAAAAAAAAAAAGCTTAACAGCTTTTGTTGTTGTTAAGTGCCTGTAAGTTGTTTCCAATATAGCAATTCTATTATATAGAGTTTCTGAGGAGTAACTGGTGGGTTTGAACATTTAGTGAGATAGAATTCAGATATTGTACAAGTCACTAATTTAAAATACATAAATTTGATGGTTTTTAGTATAGTGTTTTATAGCGATCACCATAATCAGGTGTTATTGTTCTTAAATATCATTGTGTTGGTTCTGAAGCTGTACATGATTTCGGGAGCAGAAAGCTTCATCTTTATTCCACACAGCCAGTTATAGAACAGTCCAGAAAGAATCCCTTACCCATTAGCAGTCCACTCATCTATTTTCTGCCTCTAAATTTGCCTATAGTGGACATTTAATCTAAGACCATGTACTATATATGGTATTTTGTGACTGACTTCTTTCCTTAGGATAATGTTTTTAAGGTTCATCTATGTTGTAGCATGTATCAGTATTTCATTCTTTATGATTGACTAGTACTCCATTGTGTGAAGATACTGCCTTTTATTTCTCTTTATCAGATGATAGAGAGTTGCTTGTTTTTGGCTGTGAACATTTATGTTTATATGTGGCCAATTGTTACCATTTCCCTTAGATATATACCTAGGAATTTAATTGCTGGGGACTCCTGGTGTGGTGCTGTAGGATCAGCACTGGTCTTCAAACCACAAGGTAGGTAGGCAGTCAAACCCACCAGCTGCTCCATGGAAATGCTATATAGGGTCGCTATGAGTCGGAACCAACTCTACAGCACTTAACAACAACAATAATTGCTGGGTCATGTGGTATTTCTGTATTTAACCTATTGGTTAAATTCCACATTTAGCCAAAATGGCTCTATAATACTAGATCTAAAAGTTTACTGTTTTGTGTTTTAAAATTCAAATCATTCCACAGAATTTAAACTTAAATTATTATACCTAAATATTGACACACTTGGTAAAGACTATTATAATGCTTCTCTGTGAGAATTTTATTTTATTTTACTTGGGAGTAATTTGGGCTCTCTTAACTGAACTACTTCATAAAGCATAGTGATAAGATTTTCAGTGTTTTATAAACTTAGTTTATGGCATAAATGCAAATTAGTGACTGTTCCCTGCTTTAAATAAAAGTCAATGAAATACAAGATAAAATTGGAAGGTGGAAAGGGAGCTAGTTATAAAGGAGGGATGTTTTGCAGAACTTTATCTTCCGGTTTTTATACTTTGTATATTTTGAAAAATAACTTGTTTTATCTTTGCAGGGCAAGATGAAGAATGAAATTGCTGCTGTTGTCTTCTTTTTCACAAGGCTAGTTCGAAAGCACGATAAGTTGAAGAAAGAGGCAGTTGAGAGATTTGCAGAGAAATTGACTCTAATACTTCAAGAAAAGTATAAAAATCATTGGTATCCTGAAAAGCCATCAAAAGGGCAAGCCTACAGGTAAAGGAATAGACTGGACAGTTGGACTAAGTGACGAGAACAATAAATCCCTGAAATGGGTGCAAAGCCAGAGGACTGAAGATTGTTTGGATCATGCCTATCACAGTTATATTGTTAAAATGCAGCGCAAATGCTTGTTGTTAGAATTCCACTACTTAGGAAGCCAACACTAGGATCATAGGATCACAAGTCTTCTGGTGGCTTATAGTTTGACTCTATGTGTCAAAAATAGTTGATGGTTTTCATAATTCTAGAGAACCCCTATAAAACTCACTCTTAAAAAAACAAAACAAAAAGCAACTCACTCTTAAATTATGGTAAGAATTGAGGGAAATGAATTTTCTTGTTTTGAGGAATAAATTACATGTTTTTTGAAGGAAACAGTTTTTATGGAGAAAGGGAACCAAGATTACTAGGCATCTAATATTAGGTTCTTAATACCTCCAGGAATACTTTTTAAATGCATAATTTTGTGTTAGAAACTTGTATCTCTGTCTTATAGATGAAAGTTAATAACTTAGCTGTGATTCACAGCTAGTCAGTGGTGACTCCAGCATTTGAACTCAGGTCTAATTGACACCAAATTCTTACGGACTTTTCTGTCTACCACAGTGTAACTACTGCTTTGGTGCTGAGAGGGCAGATAACGCTGACTTGCACCTCTCTTTTGTACTCTGGTTTGTAAGTTACATTTGCAGTGTAATGTAAAGAGGAAGCTCCTGAAAAACATGTCCTGGCATGCTTACTCCCAAATATACCTGGATTGAGAATGCCTTGCTATTAAACTGTGGATGTGGCCACAAAAAATACTAATGAAACAGTTGTGGATATAGTGACAACTACAGAAATTTTCTTAGATTTGTGCATATTGCTGTGCCCAGTTTTTCCTTTACAAGTTAGAACTTCCTTGCTTTGATGTAAAAAGGAGTTTATTTTAGTATTTCAGTGCAGGATTATTCAGAGACTAGGGGAGCAATATGATTTATTTATTTCTCATTTTCTAAATTTCAGGTAAGCCTGTAGTCTAATGACAAGGAAAGAATTAAAGTAATCAGAGTATATTCCCCTTCATTTTTATTCAAAGAAGCTTCTTAGTAAATTGGACAATATAACAAATTAAAGTAAAAATGTGGATATTCTATATAAAATAGGTTCAAATTATTTTCTCATTATTCTCTAACTTTTTTTTTTTTTTCAATATATCGCATTTCTGATACTGCGAACAGCATTTGTGAGGTAGATTTGTTGAGGCTTTTGTGCAGGACATAATTGAAATTAGCTGAAATACCAAATTACCATACTATTATTGAAAAAGGAGACACTATCAAGGGACTACTTGAAGGTCAAACAGTATACTGTTTCATTTGCATTAATTCTAAAAACCTGAGAAAAAAGTTAGGCTTAAGTTGGCATGTGATCAGAAGTACAATTATTGAGTCATTTTGAAGCTGTTTGAAGTAGAAAACTATTGGACTTTAGTGGTGAGTCGTTACCATTATAAAAATGAATAGGATATAGGAATAACTGGAATTAATAAATTCATAGGAAGTTTGCAAATACTCTTTTTGTTACAAAATACATATAAATTAAAGTTGTTTCTTTGAGCTATACTCATATATGCATAGAATGCTTGTGGAACACAATCTGGCAATACTATCATGAGCTGTAAAAATATTCATACCCTTTGAACAGTAAATCTCTAGAAACTATTCAGAAGCATAATTAGAAACGCAGACAAGTATGTTATGAATATGGATGTTTCTTACACTTTATAATTGCAAAAACTGGAAACAATTCAACTGTCAACATTAGAGAAATGATAGGTTTTCTTGTGTAACTTCTTGGTTTTGAAGAGAAGTTAATGGATAAGTAGTAACAATATATAGAGTGATGAAACAGGATGAAATGTATAAGGTAAACAAATTTTGTTGAAGCAAAGTCTCTTTAAAGCACCTGTATTTTCATATAAAGCTTATAGCCATCATCACCCTCTTTGTAAATAAGAACATAATACACCTTATTGTTTATCCCCTTAACTTTGTTGCTGCTAAGTGCTGTCAAGTCAGTTCTTACTCATAGTGATCATATATAGGGTATTTGAGGAGCAGCTAGTGGGTTTGAACCACCAGCTTTGCAATTAGCAGTTCAATACTTATGTTACAGCACCACACCAGGACTCCTTAGCTGATTTCACTCCTGGGATCCATGGACTTTTGCATCATCTGGTGCTGTAGGATAAGTGCAGGACCGCAAAGTTGGTTTGAACTACAAGGTCTTCAGTTCAAACGCACCAACCGCTCCCTGGAAACCCTATACTGTGTCGCTATGTAGCCTAGGAACATTTTCTAAATAGGACCAAGTGACATCTTACATAACATGTTGTTAAGTGCCGTTGAGTTGGTTTCAATCCATAGAGATATCCTGCATAGGGTTTCCAAGGGACAACTGGTGAGCTTGAGCTGCTGACACTGTGATTCACACTAACTTTGCAGTACAGTGCATTAACTCACAGCACCACACAGAATAGGGTACTGTTTCAGAACATGAATTTTGGAGTCAGATAGCCTGGATTCAAACCTTGGATCCAACCACTACTTTTGTGATGTTGAGCCAATTTACTTAAACTTTCTCTGTGTCCTTTTTCATTACTGAGGATAATGTTAACTGCAATATGTTTGCGGTTCAAACTCACCAGTCCCTCATTAGAAACACTATAAATGGTCGTTATGAGTCAGAATCAACTCTATGGCACTTAACAACAGCAGCATCAACAATTTGTGAGGAGTCTTGGAGTGGCTCTGTAGGGTAAGCACTGGATTGCTAGCCACAAGGTTGGTGGTTCTTAGCCTTCAACTGCTCCTTGGAAACTATAGGGTTGCTATGAGTTAAAACCGACCTGACCACCGTACTTAACAACAACTTGTGGTATTTGTAAGAATTAAAGAGTTGATACATGCAAAGCATTTAGAAAACTATCTGTTGTAGAGTTAATATTATTATTTTGAAACATTTATTGTTGTTGTCATTAAGGAGCTCTGGTGGCATAGTGGTTACGAATGGGGCTGCGAACCGAAAGGTCAGCAGTTTGAAACTACCAGCTGTTCCGCGGGAGAAAGATGAGGCTTTCTGCTCCCTTAAAGATTTACAGCCTCGGAAATCCTTTACAGGGTCGCTATTAGTCGTACGGCATATAACAACAACAACAACATTGTTGTTGTCATTAAGTGCCGTCGAGTGGATTCCAACTCATAGCGATGACCCTGTATAGGGTTCCGAGGAGCCACTGGTGAGCTTAAACCACCGACCTTGTGGTTCAAGCTGAACTTGCAGTCCAGTGCATTAAGCCACAGCACCACACCAGAACTCTACATTTATTGTTAGCCATCTTAAAAAAAAAATTTTTCATTGCTTTTAACAAAAATTGAAATTAAGTTAAAATTATTTATTGTTTATTAACATTAAATACCATTGAGAGAGCACTATGTTTTATGGTATAGTTGTTTGTCTATTTACTTGTATTTTTCTTATTTTATAACAAAGTCTGAGGAAGAAACAAAATAACTTACCTAAATTCACCTTGTAATTAAGTAGTACATTTTATTGTTGTTGTTAAATGCAATCAAGTAGGTTCCAACTCATAGCAACCCTGATAGAAACAACCTGGTGGCTTTGAACTGCTGACCTTGTGGTTAGCCATCCAATGCTTATCCTATCGTATAGGACTCCAGTACTAGGTTTGCTGGCTAGTAAATTTAGTACTGATTAATACTGAAGCCGAAGGAGCCCTGATGGCAGCATTGTGGGATAAGTGTTGGGAGTTAGGTCGGCAGTTCAAACCCACCAGCCATTCCTTGGGAGAAGGCTTGAGACTGCACACATAAAGATTTACAGTCTCAGAAACCCTATATAGGGTTGCTATGAATCAGAATTGATTTGATTGCAGTGGGTTTGGTTTTGGGTTGTGCTCAGTCCAACTAAGGTTTTCTTAGTTGCTTTTCTAGTAGTAAGTAGTATAATAGATCTTTGCCAGTAAATGCTTTCCTGTTGTAGTTGCCTTTTTCTTAACTAAATAGAATGCTTATTTTTACATATACTTTTCCATCTTGGCATTCCATTAGATATAGTATTTATTAAATTAAAAAATAAAAAGTAATAGAAGAGGCTTTTGGTGTAGAAATTTTAAATTTTGACAAAAGAGTCTTTGATAACTATGAAGTTAAATGAGAAAAACCAGTAACTTCAGGATTATATTTTGGTCTTAAATATGTATGATGTGAGTTGAATGGTTCTATGGCCTTGTCTATTTTTATATTTATAAAATAGTTCTCAGTAAAGGGCATCTTTTTTAATGTTTTATTATCTGGTATATAAAAGCAAGGTAATGATAGATCAAAACTTGCCATAAGAATTTTTAAATATTTAAAACATGGACTGAAGACTTTGTTAGTTGGCAATTTTATTATATATGAACTTGACCTAGAAAAATTTTTACCTTCAGAGTTCTAAGTAATTTCATATCATACTAATTCATTTCATGTACATATGAGTTTGGATAATCTCTGAGTAATATGAAGTAGCATCATCAGTTCGTGATTTGTATGGTTCACATAGATGCCCTCTTTCCACTAAACTGGGTAGTTTTGTTGATGTTGCCTTTTTGCCTGTTTATATTTCTTACCCAATCAGGACAGATATAAGTCTGAGTTCTCTACAGGGGAATTGTTTTATTTACATACTCTGCCAAATATTGGTGATGGTGTTGGTGGTGTAGAGTCAGTTCTGACTCATAGAAACCCTGTATAGGGTTTCCAAGGCTGTAAATCTTTATGGGAGCAGAAAGCCTCATCTTTCTCACGCTGAATGGCTGATAATTTTGAACTGCTGACCTTGAAGTTAGCAGCCCGACTTGTAACTACTACATTACCAGTGCTCCTCAGATAAATGTTGTTGTGATGTGCCGTGGAGTCGGTTCTGACTCATAGCGACCCTGTATAGGGTTTCCGAGGCTGTAAATATTTATGGGAGCAGAAAGCCTTATCTTTCTCCCAGACCAGCTGATAGTTTCGACCTGCTGACTGGGGTTCGCAGCCCGATTCGTAACCACTGCGCTACCAGAGCTCCTTCTGATAAATATTAGTAGCTGTAAATAGATGTGTGTGCAATTAAGTTAAAATCCATCAATATAGCTTTATTTTGTTACAGATGCATTCGTGTCAATAAGTTTCAGAGAGTTGATCCTGATGTCCTGAAAGCCTGTGAAAACAGCTGCATCTTGTATAGTGACCTGGGCTTGCCAAAGGAGCTCACCCTTTGGGTGGATCCATGTGAAGTGTGCTGTCGGTGAGTTCTCAAATCTGATTACTGTGCTAAAACTGATCATATGTGAAATGTTCTCAGGCACTGCTTGCTTGCGTATCTTTACAACCAGAAACTAGTGTTTTGGCTTTGTTAGAGGTAAATTTTATTATGCACTCTTCTGGAGGTGATGGTGAATAAATGAATGATTGCTCACATTTCTGTTTTGCAGCTGAAGACACTGAGAATCTGGTGGTGGGCAAGAAACTTATTTTATATATATAACAAGTAGAATTTAGACACCTAGAGTATTCTTAAATTAGCATCTTTTATTTGTCCCTTTTCCTACAACTTAGGGAGGAAGCTAATCCCAAATAACACAGAGGAATAACTTGGTTGGTTTCTGTCTCTGTTTCTACTTCTCTGACCCCTTTTTTTCTTTTTTGGTTTTTAAGTGACAGTGATGTTTTCGTAATAGGAACTATTTTATCTCGTTTCCTAATGAGCAGAATTGTAAAAGATGAGTATAGCTGTAAAATCTGTTTGAACTCCATCCGTTCAAAAAACATTCATTTTAGACCACAACTCTGAGTTGTGGGGTTTTCAAAAATAGAAAATATTTTCAAAAATAGTTACTTTCAGATAGTTCAGAATATATGCAATAAGAAAGAAGAACGGATAAGCAAACTACAGTTTACTCTGATTTGTGCTATAATAGAAACATGTATGAAATGCAGTAGCAGGTGGTGCAATGTAAGTATTGGCCCTAGAGATAAAAGCTTTATAGACATTGTACTTAAGTGAATACTACGTTACTTGATGATGGCAGATAATGACAAACTACCGTACTTTGATCTGATGTTTATTTTAAGGAGATTTTTGCATTCAGCAGACTTCTAGTAATTTTGTGCATGATTAAGATTTTTCAAAAAATTGGTTATGAGATGATTTTGTTTTTCCACAGCTAATAGAAATCACTTTCAGAATACAGGCTGCACATTCACTTGATTACTAAACGCCCAAAAGAAAGACTTACTAGCAATTGAATAGAAGTGTGACAGGTATAATATAGAAGAATGAAGTATTACATAGGGGTAAAGGACTTGGGTCAAGAAAGGTGCCTCTGTGTAGGTGGTACTTGAGTTGGGTGGGAAAAAATAAGTGGTGGTTGGTCAAGTTACAAGGTAGGAAGTACTTTCCAGGATGAACTTAGTAATAGAGCCCTTGCAAGTGATTTCTGTTCCTTTAGTGGCCTCTCCTCTGTTGACTGTAGTAGCAGTGCTTTTCTGATGTAGTGTTCCAGAGATGGTAACAGACTTTAACATGATATTCAACAGTGGCACTTAAGTGTCAAATACATGGATATGCTGACACATGTGGAATTTCTTCAGAATCATTCATTGTTATTACTATTTGATTTTACTGCTGTTGGTGTAAGCTCATGACTTTGGGAAACCTGGACTAGGAAGTAGAGGTTTATGGAGGTGAAGATTCTCCATCATTTCTTAGGTAGAAAAAGTAAACCATCTCAAGTTTAGGTCTGAGAAAGTCAAATATATTTAAATTCTAGGACTAACTAAACACTGAACTTAAATTGGTCAGGCTTGGATACTTTGATTATTGAACCCTAGCCTAGTACCCCAGTTCACAAGAAATAGCTATCATGAAGTTACTATATTAAATTGCTTACTTTTTTATTAGGCCCTCACTTAGATCCTATTGACTCTTAACACAGAGTTCTTTAAGTTACTGTGTAATTTCTCATCCCATAAAAGATTAGAAGCTGCATTTGAAGAAGGCTGTTCACAGTACTCATAAAGTTACAAAAAGATATTATATAGTCTGACATAGAGGTAGAAGTAAAGAAGCTAATGTATTATCACACAGTTAATATTTATGTAATGATCCTTAGTCACCAATGAAAAGGTTTTATGCCTAGTGATGTTTAAGAAGTCAGGTACTATATATACATTTTGGGCATATATTTTTAACTACTTAAAATAAGTATTGGCACCTGAGATAAAAGCTTTAGTTATACAGACGTTCTACTTAGTGAATACTACATTACTTGATAATGGCAGATATTGACAAACTATCATACTTTCATGTGCTTTTTAAGATCTTTGCATTCAGCAGCCTTCTAGTAATTTGGTTTTTGATTTAAGACTTTTCAAAAAATTGGTTGTGTTATGATCTTGTTTTTTCACAGCTAATAGAAGTCATTTTCAGAATATAGGGTCACATTCACTTGATTACTAAATCCCAAAAAGAAAGACTTGCTAGCAATTGAATAGAAGTGATTATTATAATAGACAAATAGTGATATTATGAGGTGGTTTTGGACCAAAAATGGAAAGATAATTATTCTGAAAATGAAAGCAAAGACATTATATAATATGTCTGAGAGTGGTTAGAAGATACTAACTTACTGGTATACTAGAGACTAAGTAAATGTTATGGAAAAAAAAAAAAAAAAAACTTACGATGCACTCAGGAAGAACATTCTTTGTAGACTTACTTCATCAGGATAAAGTGAAGGATGCAAAGTTCCATGTAGTCAAAAAGGGTATTACTTACTTAAATATTTGGAGGATATAGAACAGATGACAGATTTTTCCCATGGTGACAAGACTGGAGAATAGCTAATAGCTTCCTTATATATTCAACATATTTTACAAAACTTTTTTTTTCTTTTATAATTTCTGCAGCGTTTTTTCCACCTGATACAGAGTATTAAATGTAACGTTTCAAATTAACAAATGTTTGAACAGTGTGTTATTGAATAAATGGAAACATACTAAAGTTGCTTACTCCTAATGCTAAGGAATCAACTCCCCATTCTAATATTATGGTAACAAGTTAGCAGCTTCACTTAGCATGGAGAGGACCATCATATCAGAACACTACAAAGGGCAAGATGGAGAACCTACTGAGCAAAGATGAAATTACGCCTAAACTCACGGTTAATATTCTAGCATTAGCATGGATTAACCTTTGATTATATTTAGTCTTTAAAACCATATAGAGGAAGGAAGAGTAAAATTCCATTGCTAAAACCCTACTCTAAGTAAGCTTTGAATTATAATGCACACATGCTGTATTGTGAGGAACTCGCACAATTGTTCAACAATCATCTAAGAAGCATCTCTAGCCAAAAAGCAACAAGCATTGAATCTGCTCAATCTTCCTAACCCAGCAAATAGAAAACAGACCTAAAGAGATTAAATGGTTTGACTCCTGGTTACAGAACTAGTGTGCAGTAAAGCCAGACCAGATACATGTCCACTGATCTTTCTACCATTCAGCAGTACCTTCCTTTATGAATTAAACTGAAAAGGAATAGGAAAGAGAGCTATGTATCATATTTGGGTAGTATTTATTCCAACCTGTTGAAATGGAAGACAGCACAGCTATATAAAGAAATAAAAATTATCTGGGAAAACTACTTGACTTCCATATAAACTTTCAAAAGCTTTAATTGTTGTTGTTGTTGTTAAGTGCCGTCGAATCGGTTCTGACCCATAGTGACCCTATACAGGGTTTCCAAGGCTATAAATCTTTACGGGAGCAGAATGCCTCATCTTTCTCCCGTGGAGCGGCTGGTAGTTTCGAACTGCTGGCCTCAAGGTTCGCAGCCCGATTCGTAACCACTACGCTACCAGAACTCCTTAAAAGCTTTAATAGCAGTCAGGTATTTTGCTTTATCATAGATAAAATCATCCTGACACAGATAATCTGAGACGAGTTATTTTGAGATTGAAACTAATATCAGTAAACCCTATTTTTCTATTAAATTAAAAGCTTGGCATTATTTCCACATACTTGTTTTTAAACTTAGAATCACTTTGCTTCTAACTTTAATTGCATGTTGTGTAAGAACTGCTTAACAACTAATTTCCTTTTTTCTAGAAATTGTTCCATAATGTTTATATTATGTAATCTATTTAAACAGATTTGTGGGATTTTCCTTTGTTCTGTGAATAAAAACTATTGTTCATTATGCCATTTTCCCACATCATAGAATTGTTTTATATTTTAACCAAGCTCCAAAATATTTTGAAAGGATAAGGGTGAGCAGTTATCTTAATATTTATAAGACAGACAATATAACTTAAATATAAAACCTTTTATTTTACTCAACAGTAATATTTTGTCCTTTAATTCTCTTAGAACTAATTGCATATGTTCTCATTTTTTGTTGGTGTGGATGTAGAAACACAAGTGTATTTTTATTTTATCTTGGTGATAGTTAATTTTATAAGCAATGTATGGTAATTTGTGATTTGAATTACTAAGATATACATTAGAAGGACTAATTTAAAACACATTAAAAAGTTTTACTGTGAAACCAACATCAAAGAATATACAAATCTTAATTATTTTTTTGTGAGGAGGCAGTAGAAAAGAAAGATAATTGGGAAAGAGAATGGGTCACTTTTCTTTGTATTTAAATACGAGGTGGTGGTGGTTGTGTGCCTTGAGTTGGTTCCGACTCCTAGCAGTTCTGCATAGGGTTTCCAAGGCTCTAAATCTTTACAGGAGCAGAAAGCCTCATGTTTCTCCCACGGAACAGCTGGTAGTTTCTAACTGTTGGCCTTAAGGTTAAGCAGACTGACTCATAAACACTATGCTACTAGTGCCCCTTAAGAAAAAAAAAAGTAATATTACAAAATCATAGAAACCTTTATTAAACAAAAATACCAAAGTGCAGAGCTATTGTTTCTTGACACATCCTCCATTTAGGTCTACATAATTCTGAAGGTAGGTGATTTCCATTTTTCTAACCCCATTGCTATGAGTCAGAACCAACTCAATGACACTTAATAACAATAAAAACCCTTCCCCAAAGAATTCTGTACTCTTTAATTTACACTGTGTCAAAATACAAGTTTTGGCTTCCCTGAGGTACTCAAATAAATTATGTTCCTTTTATATGTTGTCTGAGCTTAAGGAACAAAGAAGAAGTTTGAAGTGGCAAGACCAGAGCTTTAGGGTGGATGGTATAAGATTTTCAATTAAATTCTCTTAGGACAACTCTTAGTACTCTCCAAGAATGAACAGTGCATTGTTATACTGGGAAAAAACATTCCTCTGCACAATGTTCCTGGTCTAATTCTTAATTCTCATCAATACAGTTTTTAATTTTCTTAAAAACTTTTTCTAATAAGCTCCCATAATTTTCCTGTGTCCCTCGAGAACATCTATAAAGGTTATTCCCTTGGGATCCCAGAGAACAGTTGTTATAACTTTCTGAGCTAACCTCTGTCTTGAATTTAACTGGCCCAACAAATCTCAGAAACCACTGTTTTGATTGGAACTTTCTCTCTGGATCATACTGGTAAATCAAAGACATCCCTGGTTACAATTCAATTCATAAAAGTGTCTTCATTGACTTTGATATTGTTTAAAAGAGTGATGGAAAGGCCTGTGTTTTGCACTCACTGGTGTTTGCATAACACTTTTGGCACCCATCAAGTTGAGAGCTTTCTGAGGCCATGATTTTCACTTAAAATTGAAAATGCTTGATTATGTGAGATCCCAACCCTATTAGCTAGTGCATAAATTGTCATTCTACAGTCTTCCATCAGTTTCTGGACTTGAGCCACAGTTATTTGATTTGTAAAGGCTGATGGTCATAGGCCTTTTGGGTTATTTTTTATGTCATCCTGACCTTTCTTAACATTTGATCTACCTAAAAACTGTTGTTTTATATAAGGTAACATTCTAATAACTGGTTGCAAACTTCAGTGCTTTGGAAGAAGTCCACTTGAGTTTTGTTAAAACGTTTGATAATTAGCCCTGACCTCAAAATAATTGGTTTGGTTTTTTTCTGTCCCCCATGGCAAAAAAAATGCTGATTTTAAAGCCAGAGTGCTCCTTAGAGACCAGGATGTCCAAAGTTCATCTCTCATACTTTGGACATATTGTCAGGAGGGGACAGTCACTGGAGAAGGATGTCATGTTTGGTAAGGTGGAGGGTGAGAGAAAAATAGGAAGAACCCCAGCGAGATGGATTGGCCAGTGGCAGCATCAATGGACTCAAGTGTGGCAACAGTAGTGAGGCTGGCCCAGGATCGGGCAGTGTTTCCTTCTGCTGTTCATAAGGTCGCTATGAGTCGGTACCGACCCGATGGAACTTAACAACAACAAGGAGACTGGTGTGGCTCCGTGGGCTAATGCACTGGACTGCACAGTCAGTTTGAACCACAAGGTTGCGGTTCAAGCTTACCAGCTGCTCCTTGGAAACCCTATACATGGTCGTTTTGGGTTGGAACCAACTCAGTGGCACTTAACAACATAGGAATCTAAACCAAGTGTATTACTAAGAGAACATATGCGGCCATCTACTTACTGATCACTAGAATATACTTTAACATGTTTTGTTTGAAATAAACTCATGCATGTATGAACTGAAAGTCTAGCAGGAATTCTTTTGATTTGTCCTCAGGGGGACCACAAGGAGAAAATTGTAGTTTATTAGCTGGCATGTATGTAGTTGGGTATGGAATATAAAATGTATTGGGTCAAGTCCTAGGATGTCTCCTTGCCTCAGTCCAGTAGCATGTCCAGACTTGTTGAATTGTTTTTATTGATATTTCTTGCCTTTTTGAAGTGGCTTCAATATTTGTTAAGTATTTTATTTTATGCTTAGGTATGGAGAGAAAAACAATGCCTTCATTGTTGCCAGCTTTGAACATGAGGATGAGAACAAGGATGAAATCTCCAAGAAAGTTACCAGGGCCCTTGATAAGGTTACCTCTGATTATCATTCAGGATCCTCTTCTTCAGATGAAGAAACCAGTAAGGAAGTTAAAACCAACTCAGAGACTGCAACCCCCAGTCCCGTGTACCAGGTAACCAGGAAACGGACCCATATTGAAGAACATGAGCAAGGATTACTCGGTTACTCTAGGAGCCCTGCTCATGTTGCTCACTATTTTTGATTTGAGATTCTAGATTGCAGTTCTTGGCTTTGCTTTCTTACACTAAAGGGAAACTGGACCTGTGACGTGTAAATAGACATCCTGGGTCACTTAATCAAAGGTCTGTTTTATTATCTAGTAGCTCAGGTAAATTTATTTCAAATAGGTGTGGCAAAGGATAGAAAAATTGTGATGATAAAAAAATTTTTGATATGTTAACATTCTTTATTTTATTCAAATATTAACATTGATTTCTTGCAGTTCTTAACACTTCTAATACCTTTCTGATTAAAGAAAAACATTATATTTTATTTAATTTTTTAACTGAAGCTAAATCAATGTTTTCCTCTACTTTAACAGCTGAAGTCTTATAGCTAGTATGCATGCATTTGCACTCATTCAGTTACTTATTTTGTACCCACATACCAAAAAACATTTAATATGTTTTAAAAATATCTTGACCACTGTAACCACAGCTATAATAAAACATGTTAAAAAATACATCACTTCCAGCTAGATGGCAGACTAGGCATCATAGGCACTACAGGGACCCTCTACAAAACCGAAAACAGATAAAAATTCTGGTACCTTGAAATTCAGAAGAAAGGTTAGAAAAGTAGATAGAGTGATTCCTGGGAAGAGTGGCCGAGGAGGCATGACAATGGAGACTGACTAGGGAACGACTGATTAGACATGGCTCAACAACCTGTGAACAACTTTTGCAGTGGAGGGAGGTCTTGCAGAGAGATCCTTTTGGGTGATGGATAAGGTAAGGTATAAGTTCTTCTTTTTTCCCACACTTCATTGGTAACCAGAAGTGTGGCCATCCATTCCCACCCTAATTCACCCACAGCCCAGACCTTACTCTCTAGGAGTTCAGAGCTATGCCACTTTGGTGTGCTGCTTTGGTGCCTGGGTGAGCTTGGTTCCAGACCTACAAAACCCACAGAGCCACAAGACTAGCATTTAACCAGTCACATTGCCTCCTAATAGACATTTAAACCAGCTCCATTAATGGCCCCATGAACTACTTCTGGATTGAGTGCCCTGAGATAATACCAAAGCCTGTAGGAACTCCATCTAGGACCAGGAACTCTGCCATCACATCCATTCCACAACTGCCTTGTAAGTTTCTTGAATTTCAGAAATTTCAATTTCAGAAGATTTCAGAGTCCCCCAGAAATTTCTCCCCTCTCATCCAACAACTGCAATGTTTGTTTTAACAAATACAACAAATTCACAATGCCCCAGAGTCAACAGACAATTTAGCTCACAGGAAGAAAAGAGAGAATGACTCAATCAAATGGCCAAGATGCAAAGCCAAAATATATTTATGAAGAAGAAAAGACACTAAAACTAACTGGAAAATAATTTTTTAAAAAAATTGTAATTAGGTACCTACAAAGGGTTGGTACAAAGATTAAGGAAGACACAATAAAAAGTTAAGAATTCAGGAAAACGCTACAAGAAAAAACTAACAAAACAAATGCAAATTTGAAACAATATAGAGTCTGGGATTTGAAATCTAAAAGATTAAGATCTCAGAAATGGACAGTACATTGAAAGGGCAAAGGAGTAGATGCAAAGCAATGTAAGCCCAGATTAGTGAGCTTGCAGATAAATCTGTCAGTACTAGCATGCTGGAAGAGCAATTAGTAAAACAAATGAAAAAAATCCAAAGAGTGTAAGAATTATGGGGAACACCATGAAGAGGAACAACTAACGGGTGATCAGCATTTCAAGTTCTGAAAACACAAAACCTGGAGAAAATTGTCTAAGAGTTATTGATTGGAAGAAACCTTCCCTAACATCATGAAAGATGAGATGAACCCCATAAAGAATAGATCTTAAAAGAAAATCACCAGGATATATAACAATCAAACTTTCCAAAATCAAAGACAAAGAAGAATCCTGAGAGTGCTCAGGAAAAAACAAAAGTTACCTACAAAGGAGAAAACCAGTAAGACGAAGCTCTGATTTCTCAGCAGAAACCATGCAGGCAAGAAGGCAGTAAAACCCTGGACGAAAATGATTGCCAACCAAGAATCATAAACCCAACAAAGCTGCCCTTCAAATATGATGATGAAATTAGGACATTTCCTAATAAATAGAAATTAAAGAAATTTGTACTAACTTTGCAAAAAGTACTAAACTGTGTCCTTTTAACTGAGAACCAACAATAGCATATGTACAACAACCTGAGATTACTTTACAAGATACCACCACCCAGGACTCAATCCAGATATACAGGTACATAAAGTAAACTAAGCCTATGAGACTGAAAATAGGGAACCAGAGATATCAGTGTATAATGAAGCCAACTACAAAACAAAAAGAAGTAATAGTGTAGATACAGAGCTTTCAAATGACGAAAAATCAATTACAGGGTAACATCAAAGAAAAATAATACATCTACACATCAAAATTTAAAAAGGTAAATCAGATTTAGTAAATGTTGTTATATGCCATTGAATCAGTTCTAATTCATACCAACCCTGTATAGGGTTTCCGAGGAGCAGCTGGTGGGTTTGAACTGTTGGACTGGTTTGCAGTCCAATGCCAACCTGCAGCACCACACCAGAAATCCTAGTAAACATTAACACAACAGAACTTGAAATGTCTTGAGAATGACAAGAAAACCCACAAATAAATTGAACTCAGCATAGAAAATTAGGTGGAACAAAGAATCCAGCAGCACCATAAAAAAAACAAAGTAAAATGACAACAATCAATTCATAACCATTGATAATTACATTGAACATAATGGATTAAATGTACCAGTCAAGAGACATAAAGAACAAAATAATTAAGAAAACAGGTCCTTCAATATGCTGTCTACAAGAGGCATATCAAAAAGCTGGAGACAGCAAAAGTGCCCATCGACAGAAAAATAGTTAAACAAAAGTACATAATACACAGTAGAATACTGCAAAACAAAGAATAATGAATCTTGAAAACATCTCATGACATGGTTGAACCTGGAAGACATTGTTGCAGAGCGAAATTAGTCAATCTCAAAAGGACAAGCATTGTATGAGGCCAATGTTGTAAAAGTTAAACAGTTTTGATAAAAGAAACAACCTATGTTAGTTATGTGGAAGTGGGGGATAATGGAAATTTATTCATGGGCTAGAGGGTAAACATGTTAGCATGGGTGACAGGGCAGGCAGTATACAAGAGGGAGGTTAGCAGAGGAAAGATGAAGCTAGCAAGAGAGAAAGGAATGCAGTAAAAATGAATAGTGGTAAATGCTGTTAACTGTTGTACATGGAGGGATTACAACCATATAGTGAAACAAAGTGTATGATTTTTGTTAAATATAAAACTGATGTTCTGCTCTGTAAACCTTTACTTAATTCACAATAAAAAATTTAAACATAGTGTGGCACTGTGGGGTCAGTGGTTCAAGCTTACCAGTTGCTCCTTGGAAACCCTATACAGAGCCATTAAGAGTCTCAACCAACTTGACGGCACTTAACTATATATATATATATATTTATGTATGAATGTATGTGTGTATAAACCAGGCAACTTTTCAGCAGGGCTTGCACAGCAAATCATCAGTTTTAACATTCAACAGATTATACACTTTGTCTTGTCTCAATGATTGCAATCTGTTCCGTATGCCAACAGTTACTTCCTTTCCTCCCTATGTATCTTATTCCATTCTGCCCTCCTTCCCCACCCTTCTGAACTTAGTCCTTAAGTAAATGTTCCCCTTTTGATCTTGAATGGTTGACCATTCCATGGTGAGCATACCTTACTAGTGTCCCCCTATATAAGTTTATCTACTGCTTGCCTGAAAATTGGGCCATGAGTGTTAAGTTCTGTTCCAGACCTACAGGGTAGCTGAGACCCATTGTCTAGTGTTTTTACAGTCTCTTTCTGACCAGTAAGCCTGGTCTTTTTTATAATTTTGAGTTTTGTTTAACATTTTCTCCCATTCTATCTAGAACCTTCTAATGTGATTCCTTTCAGAGCAGTTGGTAGTGGTAGCCGTAGCTGTATACCATCTAGTTGGGTGAGACGTAAGTTCACATGTTCCATCAGTCCATTGATTCCAAGCAGCTTCAATTTTTATCACTCTTTTTTTTTACATGGAAAGACCAGTAGTAGAGCCTTAGATGGCCACGCCTGAGCTTTTAAGGTCCTATTCACCAAAGTAGAATGTAGAACATTAGAACATTGTCTTTGTGGACTATGTTATGCCAATTAACCGTGGTATTCCCTGAGACTGTGGTCCTGAATCTGGCTTAAATGTCTGGCAGACCCCTGTTGATGATGTACCATTACAGCCAGCTTTTAATTAGCTTTAGCAAAATTTTGCTAACATGATATTTTTTTCATCATTATCACATTCCATTTGACTGCCTTTCTTTTGAATGAGCACAAATGTGGATTTCTTCTAGTTAGCGATCTTACAGATTACTTGGCGTAGATGAGTAAGCCTGTATATTCATTTGTTGTAGTATTTCAGTTAGTATTACATCAGTCCCTAGAGCATGTTTTTCACTAACACCTTCAGTGTAACTTGTACATCTGTCAGTACCATTGGTTCTTAACCATATACTACCTCCTGAAATGGTTGAACGTCAGCAAATGCTTTTGGGTACAGTGACTGTATTATACCATCTTTCAATGCTTCCTGCGTCTTTCAATATTTACCCACAGAATCCTTCATTCAGTATTTCAAATCAAGGCTTGAATTTTTTCTTAGGTTCTCTTAGCTTGAAATATGCTAAGTGTGTTCTTCCCTGTTGGTTTTCTAACTTCTGGTCTTTGCACATTTCGTTAAAATCCTTTATCTTGTCTCCTTGATAATGCCCTTTGAAATCTGGTTCAACTTCTTTACTTTATCATGTATTTTGCTTGCTATATTGTTGTTAGGTGCCATCGGGTTGGCTCTGACTCATAGCGACTTTATGCACAAC